GGTTCCAGAGGACCTTTGACCCAGTGGTCCAGTGGTGGATCAGTTCCCATAGCAACCATGAAGGCATGATGAAACTGATGGAGATGGAAGCACAGTGAGTTGGAGCTCTTGTTTTTGCTCGTCATGTAACGTTGTATTCGTGTATTAAAATTAACGATGATTAATTCATGAAACCTTTTCTTTGTCAGGCACCCACCTATCATTCAAATAATAATGTGTATCACTGTAGGCAATGCTGTGTCCCAAATGGCACCCTATTCCCTACATAGTGCACAGTGTACTTTATAGGGAATACAGCCAGTGCCACCTTCTGTTTCCTCTCCAGGCAGGTAAGTGAAAGGAGTATTGAAGAGTTAGAGTTCACGGTCACCAGGACAGCTCAGATCCCGGAAGTGACCCAGCTACACCTGGACTCCACCTTCACCTGCCTGGCCCAGAACTCTGTAGGCAACAGCAGCGCCACCATCATGCTGACTAGGAAACCTGCAGGTACCAGCAGCCTACTGATGGGCTGCGTCCCAATAATCTCTCCTTTCTCCCGAAGTGTGCACTTGTTCACTTCCCTTCATGGCTTTTAAATGAAATGACTGTTATATGATAACTCCCTCTGGCCCCTGCCTGGAACAATCCAATGGTTTTACATTTGTGGAGAGTAATGAACAAGTTCACACATCTAGAGGAAGGAGAGGTTATTGGGACGCAGCCCTAGTCTCTCATTACATCTGATTTGGTTCTGGGTGCCAAGATTAGCCTACCACAAGTGGGATCCATTCAGTTTTTCAATTCAGAAAAAGTATGTAATTTTGCCCTAATATTTTCTATCCTGATTCTTCAAAGCATGAATTGAATTTCCTGAATTCACTGATTCAAAACTGAATGGACCCAAAACCCTGACTTCGTCTGATACTCGGAGAACACTAGCAATGTATTTTTACTTAACCCTATCTTGGCATACTGTTATCTGAGACAACAACGCTCCTATGTGTTGTAATGTGTATTTGTAATGTTGTTTCAGTTTCCCGTGTTCTGGTGATAGGGTGTCCGGTGGTGTGTCTGCTGTTTGTAGCTGGGCTGGGAATTACAGTGCATGTCTACTGGCTAGAGATCTCTATTCTCTACAGAATCTACCGGCCATACAAACAGACCACCACAGGTCAGAAACACATCTCTCTCACACACACACACACACACACACACACAAACACACTGTGGAAACTATTGGTTGATAAGATATGAGAAACACAAATCACAGGAAATCTTCATTTGAAGTTTCCCCTAAAAGGAACAAAATACCAAGTATCTAATGGCTGATATGGCTTCTATCTCCTCCCCTCCCACTCTAACACACACACATGCAAACACACACTGTCAGATAAAAGCCATCTAGCATCTAGGCAGGCCTTAAATCAAGACTAATCTACACCACACCATGCTCACTGCTGTGGAAGTGACAGTTACACAGGATACATCTAGCTATCAGGAAACTTGACTCAGTAGAACCACAAAACCACACAGAAAGATTGCTGGGTGTTCTGAGGAAGCTAAAGAAGTATTTCCATGTTGTCAGTCCTTTGAAATGAAGTAATAACTGTCACTGTCCTAACTGTCATAACTGCAGTACGATGTGTTGTATTATGTGTTTAAAAAAGGGTTGGGGTCAGTTCCAATTGAAATTATTCAATTCAGGAAGTAACCTGAAATTTTTATTCAATTTTTGAAAAAATAACACCTATTTTCAATGATTCATCAATAAACTGTATTGACCCTGTAACCTGAATATGTCTCTTCTCCCTCCTTCCCTGTATTGACCCTGTAACCTGAATATGTCTCTTCTCTCTCCTTCCCTGTATTGACCCTGTAACCTGAATATGTCTCTTCTCTCTCCTTCCCTGTATTGACCCTGTAACCTGAATATGTCTCTTCTCTCTCCTTCCCTGTATTGACCCTGTAACCTGAATATGTCTCTTCTCCCTCCTTCCCTGTATTGACCCTGTAACCTGAATATGTCTCTTCTCCCTCCTTCCCTGTATTGACCCTGTAACCTGAATATGTCTCTTCTCTCTCCTTCCCTGTATTGACCCTGTAACCTGAATATGTCTCTTCTCTCTCCTTCCCTGTATTGACCCTGTAACCTGAATATGTCTCTTCTCCCTCCTTCCCTGTATTGACCCTGTAGATGACAAGGAGTATGATGCCTTTGTGTCTTACGTGCCCAGCTCTTCCTCTGAGGAGGTGGGAGGAGGAGGAGGAGGAGGAGGAGGAGGAGGAGGAGGAGGAAGAGGAGTGAGAGAGGAGCCGCTGGAGGTGCTCCTGCCCAGGGTTCTGGAGGGGCAGTGGGGCTACCGCCTCTGTATGCTAGAGAGAGACCTGCTGCCGGGTGGAGGTGAGTTATAGGTTGCATCCCAAATGGCACCCTATTCCCTATTTAGGCACCCTATTCCCTATTTAGTGTACTACTAAAAAGTAGTGTACTATATAGAGAAAGAGGGCCATTTAGGACGCAACATAGTCTGGTCCCAGATCAGTTTGTGTTGTAGAGCCAGCCAACGACCATAGGAGTTGGCTATACTGCACAAACTGACTGATCTAGGATCAGGTTATAGTTGAGCAGGCCATATGAATAGAGTAGACTGTAAAACATTGATATTGAATGTACAGTTGGCCTAGAGATGGCAGAAAAGCTTTCAAATGAAATGTCTTTTGAAGGATGTGTGGTTCACAGAGTCACAGTTTGACTGTCAGATTACGACAGTCAGCATATATATCATGTCACCCTGCCAAGCATGACACCTGTGTGGTGTTTGTGTTTGTGTTTGTGTGTGCATGCATGTCTGGTGTGTGTGTTCTGTGCTATAGCATATGCAGAGGATGTGGTGTGGGCGATCCGCAGCAGCAGGAGACTGGTGTGTATCCTGAGTCCTGACTACCTGGCCAGTACTTGTCTGTTTGAACTGGAGACAGGCATCAGAGCCTTACAGCAGGACGCACACCTCAGGCTCATCCTCATCTGGACCAGCCCTAGCACCAGCAGCCCCAACCCCAGGCCTAGCAGTCCCAACCCCACCAACAGCAGGCCTCTATCTCTACCTCTGTCCCACACCCTGGGCCTGGTGGCTCCAGCCTCTCCGCTGCCCCCGGTGGTTCGGAGGGCCATCAGAGTCCTGCCTGCTCTATACTGGACTCCCCAAGACCAAGGAAGGATGATAACTAGATCCAACTCTGGATCACGGTTCTGGAGAGCCCTCCACAAGGCCATGCCAGCTCAGAGTGGGACTGGGACAGACACACGGACACTCTCAGACACCCAGGACAGAGGGACTGTTTTGTAGGCGTTTTAAGTTCTCAACACCTGGGCTGGGTTTCCCAAAAGCATTGTAGCACTAAGATCATCTTAATTCCATTGAAACTAAATAGAGGAAGATGATCTTAGTGCTACGGATGCTTTTGGAAAACTCATTTACATTACATTACATTTACGTCATTTAGCAGACGCTCTTATCCAGAGCAACTCAACCCTGTATACTTTTTTTTTTTTTGTGGGGGGGGGGGGGGGGGGGTGTAGTCTAACCGTTATGTTCTGTTCTCAAGAAACTTGACACCTTCTATACATTTTTTTTAAGAGGGACTGGTTTCATGCGTGCCACCTGTTGTTTCATGGTTGTTGCTTCTAAGAATGTGTTGTTTTTACCTCCTGGAACCTGGTAACGGATGTGGCTAGAAACACTGCCCCCTGCTGGTGCCATGCTCAATGACAGTTCAGTGGTTCCTGGTAAATAGCAGTCAATGCAGATTCTGGGTGTATTCTTTTTTCAGATCAGCTTTTTTGACAATAATTGGGTGAAAGATCAGAATCCTTAACGCACACCATAGCAAAACGTTTTGCAAACGGAAAAACAAGTTTCTAATTAACAAATTCAGGTAGGTTCCGTCCCTGTTTCGTTTGCTTCTGTTTGTTTCCTAGCTAACACATTTACCCAGAAGGTATATTATTTAATTAATCACAAAGAACTGTCAACAAACAAACTACAATACAGAGAAGGACGTAATATATTCGCATAAGCTACAGTGAAAGACAGCTGTTGATAGCTGAAGAATTTGTTTCCTTATGTGAAGGAAAAAACACAAGCCTCATGTCTTTCCATTTTGAAAGGCTGTGTATGATAGTGTTGTCTTTCCATTTTGAAAGGCTGTGTATGATAGTGTTGTCTTTCCATTTTGAAAGGCTGTGTATGATAGTGTTGTCTTTCCATTTTGAAAGGCTGTGTATGATAGTGTTGTCTTTCCATTTTGAAAGGCTGTGTATGATAGTGTTGTCTTTCCATTTTGAAAGGCTGTGTATGATAGTGTTGTCTTTCCATTTTGAAAGGCTGTGTATGATAGTGTTGTCTTTCCATTTTGAAAGGCTGTGTATGATAGCATCCTCATCTCTTCTCATACCCAGTAACGTCATCAAGATTGTCATTGAGACTTTACATTATTTATGCATCTGAAGAATGCATGATACACTGGTATTTGCATCGTGGTTCAATTGTTTTTTTTTGCATAAATATCATTAAACAGACATTTCATTTCAGAATTGAATGTAAGTTTATTGTCCTAATATTAATATTAATACATGTCAACCCCAGGCACAGGAGAAATGGTTCCTGTCTGATCACTCCGTAAAGGTATTACAGACGGTGCATAAATGAGGGAAAGGCAAGGGTTGAAAACCCAGTTAGGACAGTTAGAAAGTCATATTCCTAGATGAGACACAAACTATTATTTAGTTGTCTTGAAGTTCCCTTTCCCAAAATGTGTCCTAATTGCTCTTACCTACACCCACTCCGGTCCACTATATAAAAACACACACACACACACACACACACACACAAACTATACGTTTAAAACAAAAGAAAAAATATGCTTGATAGCACGAATGTCTCGCCATCATTACATTGCGGTATGTACATTTTTTTACACCATCGTCAACAGACAAATGAAAAAAAAAAAAACTCAATCAAGGTGACATCATTCCACACAAAAGCAAACATGGTGTGCAGTTTGACTGTTGTCATAGCAACCCAGTAAGGTCGAGCCCTGCTGGTCCTACTGTGACTAATAACCAATAAGTTGGAGCCCTATTGGTCAGTGTCCGTCTGTGACTTGAGCTTCCTCTCCCAGAGCTTCTGGTGGTCGGAGAATCCCTGCTTCCCCTTGTTGAAGGAGTTGGGGCCTGCTGACGTGGGCGTCTCCCTGTGGTAAACGTAGAGCGAGTTATGTGAGGTAGTGGACCTAAAAGGTTATTGAAACCACTGCGGTCAGAACAGGTGTGTTGACCAAAATGAAAACATCACATTCATTGGTAGTAGGTCCGCACTCAAATGACCCATGCAAACACGTGGTCATCGTGCCTGGTTCAAATACACCCAAAATGGAAACCTATTCCATATATAATGCCCTACTTTTGTCCAGAGCTCTCTCCAAAGGGGTCCATATTAGTTCACTAATAGGCAATAGCGTGCCATTTCAGAGAAGCACACTAGGTTGAATACTTGAGATATTGTAAAAACTATTTTTGAGATAATTCAAATCTTGTGCTTCTTCTTACCTGCCAATGTTCTTCATCCTCATCTTGGCTTCTGCGGGCATCTCTTCATCACTCTGTCAGAGCAGCAGAGAAAACAGCTGCTATTACAGATCTGTTGTTATAGCACATGTATTAGCATTGGTGTTTCACAGCATATGAGAGTTTTGTTAGCATAACCTACTAATCTATTGGGATATCGTTGTGTGTGTGTGTAAAGCTGTCTGCATGCTTCCCAACCAAAACAGTTTGTGCATATATTGTGACGACATTTTGTGACGTTTTTGTTCCGTTTTGGATTTCGGTGAAGGGTTTTTCGGTTGTTCGGGTACACACATTTCTTTTCTAGAGGCAAGCCGATGTTCGGAGCGGAAGTCTACGCCTCTTCGTCTGTGATTGGCCAACAGTAGGGATTCTTTAGTAAAGTCTTTGTTGTCATTCAATGAGAGATTACTTGTTTTCATGCAAATGTTTTCTTAAAAAAATACTGCACCAGATATCTTAGTTAGATTTAAAATGGCGCGACTAAGATCTCCTCAGCAAAATCGTCAAAATGTATGACATTTCTTAAGTTTTTTTATTTTTATTCTGACTATTTTGAGGAAGCGTATACTGGCTACGGTGTCTCAAAATGGACAAACAGTAATAATGTCGCTTTTCTATCATTTTTTAAGGGAGTATGCGTACACACTCGTTCGGTTCGGCTAGCGCCAGCCGAACTGAAGCATGCTGACGTCTTAACTCACATCATCAGAGTCAACATTGAAAACCGAGGCCAGCGCTGGTTTCTTGGCAGGTACCGGTACAGGCTCTTTGGGTTTCTAAAATGGAGACAGAGAGAGATACACACGTCTGTCAACCACACACACTGAGATAGATGTCACACACACACACCAACCCCCCCCTAATGGTACTCACACTAGCACCCAGCTTAATGGAGATGGGCGCAGGCTTCTTTATAGGCTGGCTGATCAGACCAAACCCTATCTTGGAGACTTTGGGGGCTGGGGGTACCGGATGGCTCGAGGTGGACTCCTTCCCCGGGCCAGGGCTGACCTCCTGGGCCGAGCGTTTCCCCCCTCCTCCAGTGCTGGAAGAGACAGTCTTAGTTTTCACACTGCCTCCCTTCTCCTCCGGTCCTGCTGGAGGCGAAACAACTTACCAAGGTGAGCAACTGTTGCCTGGGAAAACCAAGGATGAGCTACTGTTACCTGGGAGTGGTTTCTGGGTTACCGGCAGGTGGGTGAACCCATAGAGATCCTATTAAATGAATTCCTAATTATATGGCCCTCCTGTAGCTCACTTGGTAGAGCATGGCGGTTGCAATGCCAGAGTTGTGGGTTCGTTTCCCACGGGGGGGCCAGTTCACTAACTGTAAGTCGCTCTGGATAAGAGCGTCTGCTAAATGACTAAAATGTAAATGGGTGAACCTGTTTGGGAAGTTGGTGTGTCCATGGACCAAACACTCCCACTATTGTTGTGGTTATGGTCGGTCTTTTGATCATAAACCTAGCTAGTTATTTTAACACTATTGCAATTTGTCACATAGCATATGTGCATGTTATAGTTTATTGCATATTCATGTTTAAGACTTGTAACATTCAACGCATGTTGCATTCTCTCCATTTTCTGTCTTAGCTAAGTTGATATTCTTATGAAATTGGCTGCATGCCAAGTGAAGCCTATATTAGTTGTGTTTACCGACAAAATTATTGCAAAGATAATAGTAAACATTACTCCATCATACATAAGCAGCTGCAATGGCTAACCTAGCGATCTCGTGTAAAGCTAACTAGCTAATAAAACCAGCTAGCTATCTATCTATCTAGCTAGCTACATTGGAAGCTACATTGGAAGCCTGCTAACGTTACATCAATGGCTGCTAGCTAGCTAGCTAGCTAGCTGAATGGGGACAGGCCGAAGCCCCATCCACGAACGGACACGATGAGCATGGGAATGTTGTATTAGTTACAGGAGGTCGAGGTAATGTTATACTTCTAGTCTTATTTCGACAAGACAGCGACACATTGCCTCTAAAGATGTACTAGTATCACCTCCATCATCGGAGAGCCGCTTGCTGCTGTGCTTGTTGTAATCCGCCATAACATCCGTGACGATGGAAGAAGCGAACGGACTGGGATTTCTCTAACGATATGATATAGAACAGCGCCACCTGACGTTATGGAATATGAATTGTCTGAACACAACCACAACAAAAAACGAATTTACGAATAATGTTACAATTTATTATCTTTATCAGATACTTTATGTGTGTATTTGTCTCTGTTTGTTGATCAGTATTTTCGTGGTTCATGCATTAATCGATAGGTGTCGGTGTGTAACGATTTGCAAATCTACCTTCCGAAGCGTCGAAGAAGAACTTCCGTCGTTTTTAAAATACGTAATTAACTGTCGCCAGTGCCACTCGTGTTGTCAAAATTAAATGTTTACGATGAGCGTTATCAACATTGTTTTACGTTTATTTAACCACCATAAATCGTTTTAGTTAGTCGGTGAGATGTCGGGGTTCAGCTCAGAGCTCATTGACTACCTGGAGGGAAGGATTTCATTCGAGGAGTTTGAAATACAGAGAGAGGAACGAAAAGCTAAATTGAAGGTATGTGGAACCTCCATTCTCTCTGCATGCTATATTAACGTTAAAGATAAAACGTGTGTAAAAGTTTTGGAGCTCGCAAGGACATAATATGTGCTACTGGAACACCTTTCACGAATGCCTGTGTTGAGAACATTTAATCTCGGATCTATTCTCGCAGGTATCGAACGAGGGGCGTTCAGAGGAAGAGATTGGACCAGATGACACACTCCCCAGCACTTCCCACGGCCGCAGTCCGAGAAAATGTTCAAAAAAACGTCCCGCAGGTGCGTGTCTCCACTTGTTCAGTCATGTGTGACTGCATGGATTTGGAACACACATATTCTGCTTGCCACAAGCTTGTATTAGCCCGCTGAGCTAAAGCCTAGGCACTCTTCATGTCTTCTTAAGCAATTCCAGTCAAGTCATTGTTGTATGCCAATTATCCACCTCTTCTGTCCCTGCCAGCGGATCCAGAGGAAGGAGTCAGCCCCTCTGTCCAGAAGGCCTTTGCCTCGATGATGGGGGAGGGAACAGAGGCTGAACAGACTGAGGAAGAGGAGGATGAAGAAGAAGACAACGATGACGATTATGAAGAAGAAGAAGAGGAGGAGGATGATGAGGAGGAGAGGAAGGTTGAAGTTAAAGGAGAGGAGGAGGGCCCCTCGGCTGGGGATGTCTTCGCCCTGGAAATGGAGCTTAACCGAGAGAACAAGAAGATGATGAAGGTGAAAATTAGATAAAGGCCTGTCGTCATTCTAACAGGGTTCACTAGACTGTCATCATTCTAACAGGGTTCACTAGACTGTCATCATTCTAACAGGGTTCACTAGACTGTCATCATTCTAACAGGGTTCACTAGACTGTCATCATTCTAACAGGGTTCACTAGACTGTCATCGTTCTAACAGGGTTCACTAGACTGTCATCATTCTAACATCGGTTCACTAGACTGTCATCATTCTAACAGGGTTCACTAGACTGTTAGCCCGCTGAGCCTTGACATTAGATCAGGGAGCTAACGCAATGCTAGCCATAGTTTGACGATAGTCGAATTATGGCTAGTCTCAGGCAAAGTTAGGCTGGTCACCATTTGAGCCTGGTTCACTGAACCACCTCTGTTACACTTGGTCATGCTGCAGTGTTTGTTGATATGGGTCTATTGATGGTGATTCTGTGCTGTTCAGGAGAAACGTAACCGCAGCAAGCTGCCCCGGGCCCTGAGGGGCCTCATGGGAGAAGCCAACATCCGTTACGCCCGTGGAGACAAGGAGGACGCCGTCCTGATGTGTATGGAGATCATCAGACAGGGTGGGTAGTGTTCCAGGATAGAGGATATCATCAGACAGGATGGGTAGTGTTCCAGGATAGAGGATATCATCAGACAGGATGGGTAGTGTTCCAGGATAGAGGAGATCATTCAGACAGGGTGGGTAGTGTTCCAGGATAGAGGAGATCATTCAGACAGGGTGGGTAGTGTTCCAGGATAGAGGAGATCATCAGACAGGATGGGTAGTATTCCAGGACAGAGGATATCATTCAGACAGGGTGGGTAGTGTTCCAGGATAGAGGAGATCATCAGACAGGGTGGGTAGTGTTCCAGGATAGAGGATATCATTCAGACAGGGTGGGTAGTGTTCCAGGATAGAGGAGATCATCAGACAGGGTGGGTAGTGTTCCAGGATAGAGGATATCATCAGACAGGGTGGGTAGTGTTCCAGGATAGAGGAGATCATCAGACAGGATGGGTAGTATTCCAGGACAGAGGAGGAACAGACTAAGCACTGACTGACAGGGCATTTCTCTGTCACTAGACACTGCTGTAGTAGCCATCTCAATTCACAAAAGTCCTTGTAGAGACGTATGCAGCATTCATGACATGCTGGAACTAGGAAACTGAAAACTCAGAGAAAGATGATATCTGAATTTCCCACTTGGAATCAGAATCAACCAATATGTAGCTCTACCCAAATAACTTATGTTAATTTTAACTGGGAGAGTTTCTGACTTGTCATGAATGCAGCATTACTGACTGATCTGAATTCATCAAAGTTGTCTTAAAAAATATATATATTAACCAGGAAGTCTCATTGAAGTCAATGAGGGAGGCCTTCCTGTTAAACGCTGACTAAATTGAGTCCCACTTAACCCTTCTATTCACCGTTCTCCCACCAGCCCCCCTGGCCTACGAGCCCTTCTCCACCCTGGCTATGATCTATGAAGACCAGGGGGACATGGAGAAGTCTCTACAGTTCGGCCTGATCGCTGCCCATCTCAACCCCAGCGACTGTGAGGAGTGGGTCAAGCTGGCCGACATGTCTCTGGAGCAGGACAACATCAGGCAGGCCATCATCTGCTACACCAAAGGTGAGGTGACCCCTGACCTCTAACCCCTGGTCTCTGACCCCTAACCTGTGACCTCAAACTGCTAGAATATGTTTTGTTGTTGTTGATTGATTTACTGCTAGTTAGAGGTGGTTGATTCACATGGACTTAGGCCTGTTTGCTATCCATGCTAGTGTTTAGCTGAACTACTGATGGCCAACTAATGTTGTCTCAGGCTGGAGCTACTATTAATTATCTAAGAATTTCAATCAATCAGTCAATGGCAACCTCACTGAAATAATTGTCTCCTAAGACATTTCTCTCTCCCCATCTCTTCCTTCTGTCTCTCTCTCTCTTTCTCTCTCTCTCTCTCGCTCTCGCTCTCTCTTGCTCTCTCTCTCGCTCTCTCTTGCTCTCTCTCTCTTGCTCTCTCTCTCTCTCTCTTTCTCTCTCTCTCTTTCTTTCTCTCTCTCTCTCTCTCTCTTTCTCTCTCTCTCGCTGTGTCTCTCTCTATGTCTCTCTATCTCTCTCTCTCTCAATTCAATTTCAATTTAAGGGCTTTATTGGCATGGGAAACGTATGTTAACATTGCCAAAGCAAGTGAAGTAGATAGTAAACAAAAATGAAATAAACAACAAATATTAACAGTAAACATTACACTCAGAAGTTCCAAAAGAGTAAAGACATTTCAAATGTCATTATGTCTATATACAGTGTTGTAACAATGTGCAAATAGTTAAAGTACAAATGGGAAAATAAATAAACATAAATATGGGTTGTATTTACAATGGTGTTTGTTCTTCACTGGTTGCCCTTTACTTGTGGCAACAGGTCACAAATATTGTGGCTGTGATGGCACACTGTGGTATTTCACCCAGTAGATAAGGGAGTTTATCAAAATTGGGTTTGTTTTCAAATTCTTTGTGGATGTGTGTAATCTGAGGGAAATATGTGTTTCTAATATGGTCATACATTTTTCAGGAGGTTAGGAAGTGCAGCTCAGTTTCCACCTCATTTTGTGGGCAGTGTGCACATAGCCTGTCTTCTCTTGAGAGCCAGGTCTGCCTACGGCGGCCTTTCTCAATAGCAAGGCTATGCTCACTGAGTCTGTACATAGTCAAAGCTTTCCTTAAGTTTGGGTCAGTCACAGTGGTCAGGTATTCTGCCACTGTGTAATTCTCTTTATGTTTCCTGATGATTTGGTTGGGTCTAATTGTGTTGTTGTCTCTCTGTCTCTGCCTGTTTTCCTCTCAGCCATTAAGTATGACCCCAGTAATGTGCACTACCTGTGGGAGCGTTCCAGCCTGTATGAGCAGGTGGGGGAACACAAGCAGTCCATGGACGGGTACCGCCGTATCCTCAACCTACTGCCCCCTACTGACGGAGAGCACTTCATGCAGCTGTCGCGAGACATGGCAAAGTGAGGGGTAGTCCGCCATGCACGTGTACACAGACACAAACACACACAGATACCGTACAAACTCTCATTCACAATGTGTATATACACAGACAATACACACACACACACAAGCAATGGGGGGTTAGGTTCAGTGTAATGGTGATGTGTGTTAGGTTCAGTGTGTAATGGTGATGTGTGTTAGGTTCAGTGTGTAATGGTGATGTGTGTTAGGTTCAGTGTGTACTGGTGATGTGTGTTAGGTTCAGTGTGTACTGGTGATGTGTGTTAGGTTCAGTGTGTAATGGTGATGTGTGTTAGGTTCAGTGTGTACTGGTGATGTGTGTTAGGTTCAGTGTGTAACAGTGATGTGTGTGTGTTAGGTTCAGTGTGTAATGGTGATGTGTGTTAGGTTCAGTGTGTAATGGTGATGTGTGTTAGGTTCAGTGTGTAACAGTGATGTGTGTTAGGTTTAGTGTGTAATGGTGATGTGTGTTAGGTTCAGTGTGTAACAGTGATGTGTGTGTGTGTGTGTTAGGTTCAGTGTGTAATGGTGATGTGTGTGTGTGTTAGGTTTTGTGTGTAACAGTGATGTGTGTTAGGTTCAGTGTGTAATGGTGATGTGTGTTAGGTTTAGTGTGTAACAGTGATGTGTGTGTGTGTTAGGTTCAGTGTGTAATGGTGATGTGTGTAACAGTGATGTGTGTTAGGTTCAGTGTGTAATGGTGATGTGTGTTAGGTTCAGTGTGTAATGGTGATGTGTGTTAGGTTCAGTGTGTAAGGGTGATGTGTGTGTTCTCTCTCCAGAAGCTACTATGAGAGTAGTGACCTGCTGTCAGCCATGGGGGTGATGGAGGAGGCCCTGAGGAGACACCCAGAGCTGGTGACAGACGAGAGCATCAACATGGCCGCTGAGCTCTACATAGCCAACCACCAGCACGGCAAGGCCCTTCAGGTAGCTGTTTGTGGGTGTGGGATGTAGCTCAGTTGATAGAGCATGGCGTTTGCAACGCCAGGGTTGTGGGTTCGATTCCCACGGGGGACCAGTATAAAAAAAAATATGTATTCACTAACTGTAAGTCGCTCTGGATAAGAGCGTCTGCTAAATGACTAAAATGTAATGTAAATGTAAATGTTAGTTTCATAGACGTGTGTGTGACCAGTGTTTTCCCTCCTCAGGTTCTAGTTCAGTTCTGTGGGATCGTCCTGGAGAGAGGAGAACCTAAACCAGACCTTGCAGAGGAGGAGAACCCAGAGGAGCAGGAGGAGGAGGGAAAGGAGGAGCAGGAGAAGATGGAAGCAGAGGAGAACCCAGAGCAGGAGGAGGAGAAGATGGAAGCAGAGGAGGAGAACCCAGAGCAGGAGGAGGAGATGAAAACACAGACAACAGAGGAGTCTAGAGGTCTGTCCTACTGTCCTACCTTCTGGATCTAGGACTTCTTTATGAAGTCTAGAGGTCTGTCCTACTGTCTGGATCTAGGACTTCTTTATGAAGTCTAGAGGTCTGTCCTACTGTCTGGATCTAGGACTTCTTTATGAAGTCTAGAGGTCTGTCCTACTGTCTGGATCTAGGACTTCTTTATGAAGTCTAGAGGTCTGTCCTACTGTCTGGATCTAGGACTTCTTTATGAAGTCTAGAGGTCTGTCCTACTGTCCTACTGTCTGGATCTAGGACTTCTTTATGAAGTGTTGGTTTTTTATGAGTTGTCAGTGTGGAGAGCCAGTAACATTTCTATGCAGAACTCTCTGATGCCTCTATCTTCCTCACCCTCATCCTCTCTCTCTCCCCTCCCCCTATCTCTCCCCCTCCTCCCCCTCTCTCCCCTCCCCCTATCTCTCCCCCTCCTCCCCATCTCTCCCCATCTCTGTCGCTCCCCCCTCCCCCTCGCTCCTCCCCATCTCTCTCGCTCCCTCTCTCCCCATCTCTCCATATCTCTCTCTCCCTGTCTCTCCCCCTCTCTCCATCTCCAGGGGAGGTTAGAAAGGTGGTAGTTCCAGATAATGTACCAGTGGACATCAGAGTGAAACTCATGGTCTGTCTGATCCACCAGCATGTCTACAGACCTCTGGATGTGAGTACCACACAACGTATCTATCTGTCTACAGACCTCTGGATGTGAGTACCACACAACGTATCTATCTGCTTTGGGAACGTTCACATTCTCAGAGAAGTTTGTGTCTCACATAGACTCCTACCAAATATCACACCTTCTAATCGTTGTGTCTCTGAATGTATAAACGGCCATCCCATCATCCTCCCTGTTCCCCAGTCCATGTTGACGTCTCTGATGGAGCAGTGCCCAGAGGAGCTGGGTGATCTGTACCTGGACGTGGCTGAGGCCTTCCTGGACGAGGGAGAGTACAACTCAGCCCTGCCTCTCCTCTCTGCCCTGGTCTGCTCTGAGAGATACAACCTGGCTGTTGTCTGGCTCCGACATGCTGGTAGGGACACACACTGTCAGCTGTCTCTAACCGCCTGTTATTTGGTCCCCATCATTATCAGATGATTATGAGACATAAAAGGGGCCTCATGACAAGTCTTATAATTCATTATAACTCATCATAATGCATTATAACTCCATCATCATAATGCATTATAACTCCATCATTGTAATGCATTATAACACCATCATCGTAATGCATTATAACTCCATCATCATAATGCATTATAACTCCATCATTGTAATGCATTATAACTCCATCATCGTAATGCATTATAACTCCATCATCGTAATGCATTATAACTCCATCATCATAATGCATTATAACTCCATCATCATAATGCATTATAACTCCATCATCGTAATGCATTATAACTCCATCAACATAATGCATTATAACTCCATCAACATAATGCATTATAACTCCATCATCGTAATGCATTATAACTCCATCAACATAATGCATTATAACTCCATCATAATGCATTATAACTCCATCATCATAATGCATTATAACTCCATCATAATGCATTATAACTCCATCATCATAATGCATTATAACTCCATCATCGTAATGCATTATACTTGTGAGTGTTCCCAAAGTGTTTATTATAATGTAATGTGTGTCTCCATGTCTCCCCCAGAGTGTCTGAAGGCACTGGGCCACATGGAGATAGCAGTGAAGAGTTACATTAAGGTGGTAGAGATGGCTCCTCTTCACCTGGAGGCCAGGCTGTCTCTGTCCACTCTGCAGCAGCAGCTGGGTCGACCTCTCTGCGCCCTCAAGGCCCTGGAGCCCATGTACGACCCAGACACACTGGCACAGGACGCCTCCGCAGCACAGCAGGTAGGTGGAGGGGACGGGAGGGTGGCATGGTGTGTGTGTGTTGTCCCTATGTGTGTTTTCATGATCCCGTGTGTGTGTGTGTGTGTGTGTGTACTGTCCAGGAGTTGAAGCTGCTGCTGCACCGCTCTACTCTCCTGCGTTCCCAAGGCCGACTAGATGACTACCTGGATACCATGCTCACCATGCTGGCTATGTTGCTGAAGGTAGGCTTCTAACACACACACACACACACACACACACACAGACACACACACACACACACAGACAGACAGACAGACAGAGTGATATTGTTCCTACTGTGTTTCATCATCCAGGTGGCTATGACACGGGCCCAGGTGTGTGTCAGAGCCAGCAGGTGGTCTGGGGTCAGACACCTGCGTCTGGTCAAGGTGTCCAAGGACATGGTGTCAGACATCGATGACCAGGAGGCTGCCTACCAGGACATCAGTGGTAAGACTCATCTGATTGATCACATTTTAGAAATATACTGAGAGGTTAAGAGAGACGATCTCTCTCTCTCTCTCTCTCTCTCTCTTCCATCTCCCTCCCTCCCTCCCCAGGTAAGACCAGTGTGTTGTCTCGTGAGGACTGGTGGCTGCTGTTGGTGAGGTGTGTGGAAACGCTGTGTGAGGTGAAGCGTTTTAAAGAGGCAGAGCTGCTGGTGGACTCTTCTCTGGAGTTCTACTCCTTCTATGACGTCAAGGTAAACAGGAACCACTTTCACTTCCTGTCATTCAAATCAAGAAATCATTCATTATAAAGAAAATCTTTGTATTTGAAAAATGACTAATTTATTGTTGTCTCTTTATAAATGTATTATTAGCGCTTTATACATGAAATGTACGGTACAGTAATTTGTTGTTTAGGTGAAGAGGAAAGAGCTGGAGTTCTTTGGTCTGTCGGCTGCTTTCCTGGACCATAACTACCGCAAGGCCTACGACTACATCAGGTCAGACTGGCGGTCCTACTGACTTTACAAAGATATAGTGAGAAACATGTGGAGCTGTAGCAGTTTCCTCATAGTCAGAGACAATCATAGACTCTTATTAGACACTCAGTGTGTGTTAGGTCAGGTGTGTGTACCAGGGCATATTTTAGTGTGTGCGCTTTTCTATGTGTGTGTGTGTGGTCCATATTGACCTCTAACCTCCATCCATCTGTCTGTAGGCTGACGCTGATGGAGAAGAAGGAGTGGCCCATGCTGTGGAACATATTCAACCAGGTGATCCTTCACACACACACGCACCACACACACGGACACACACACACACCAGCTCACTCATTCTCCCTGTCAATCTCCCACCAGGTGACCCTTCACTCCCAGGACGTGCGTCACCATCGGTTCTGTCTGCGTCTGATGATGAAGAACCCGGACAACCACGCCCTGTGTGTGCTCAGTGGACACAACGCACTGGTGTCTGGCAGCTTTAAACACGCACTCGGTACGACCACACAGATACCGGCTACAGATACCTGCTACAGATACCTGCTACAGATACCTGCTACATACAACTATGGCCTTCTAGCCAGGGGAATAGTTTATTCACATCCAGGTTAATGTGGAATCCAAGTAGGAATTGATCTCTCTTTCCACTCTCTCTCTTTCTCTCTGTTTACCTCTCTCATCCTTTATCTCTCTCTTTGTTTTCCTCTGTACTTCTTCCTCTCTCTCTCTCTCTTCTCTCTCTCTCTCTCTCTGTGTGTCTCTCTCTGTGTCTCTCTCTCTCTCTCTCTCTCTGTGTGTCTCTCTCTGTGTGTCTCTCTCTCTCTCTCTCTCTCTCTCTTTCTCTGTGTCTCTCTCTCTGTGTCTCTCTCTCTGTGTCTCTCTCTCTGTGTCTCTCTCTCTGTGTCTCTCTCTCTGTGTCTCTCTCTCTGTGTCTCTCTCTCTGTCTCTGTCTCTAGGTCAGTATATTCAGGCGTTCAGGGCTAAGCCAGATGAACCTCTGTACAGTCTGTGTGTTGGCCTCACCTTCTTCCACATGGCGTCTCAGAAGTTTGTGGTTAAACGCCACCCACTGATACTGCAGGTCAGACTCCTATTCTGTCCCATAGATAGAACTGTATAGAACCTATAGGATTCTATGTGCTCATGTGGGATGGTTGTGGGATTAGTTAGAACCACTTTTAAATGTGCTATAAAGCCTGTTAGAAAGTCATACAGTGACCCCTTTGTAAGCGTGTAACCCTATGTCTGTGTCGTGTGTATGTAAACCCTGTGTGTGTTGTGTCATAACGTCTGTGTGTGTTGTGGCAGGGCTTCTCGTTTCTGTGGCGTTACGTGGAGCAGCGCGGGCACTGCCAGGAGAGCATGTACAACCTGGGACGGGCCCTACAGCAGATGGGCCTCGTACACCTCTCCATTCACTATTACCACAAGGCTCTCAGCTTCCCTCCTCCTACACTAGAGGTATATACCACAGACAGACACACCTCTCCATTCACTATTACCACAAGGCTCTCAGCTTCCCTCCTCCTACACTAGAGGTATATACCACAGACAGACACACCTCTCCATTCACTATTACCACAAGGCTCTCAGCTTCCCTCCTCCTACACTAGAGGTATATACCACAGACAGACACACCTCTCCATTCACTATTACCACAAGGCTCTCAGCTTCCCTCCTCCTACACTAGAGGTATATACCACAGACAGACACACCTCTCCATTCACTATTACCACAAGGCTCTCAGCTTCCCTCCTCCTACACTAGAGGTATATACCACAGACAGACACACCCCTCCATTCACTATTACCACAAGGCTCTCAGCTTCCCTCCTCCTACACTAGAGGTATATACCACAGACAGACACACCTCTCCATTCACTATTACCACAAGGCTCTCAGCTTCCCTCCTCCTACACTAGAGGTATATACCACAGACAGACACACCTCTCCATTCACTATTACCACAAGGCTCTCAGCTTCCCTCCTCCTACACTAGAGGTATATACCACAGACAGACACACCTCTCCATTCACTATTACCACAAGGCTCTCAGCTTCCCTCCTCCTACACTAGAGGTATATACCACAGACATGTATAGAAGCTTGTATGCACACATCCACATAGAGAAACGCACACACACCTCATGTCTTCCTCATCTCTCCTACAGGGTATTGAGGCTGACCAGGTAGACCTGCGTAGAGAGATAGCCTTCAACCTGTCAATCATCTACCAGGCCAGTGGAAACACTGAGATGGTACGACACCTCATCAACACGTACTGCACTGTATAATGGCCTGTCAGGTCCTCCTATACTGCACTGTATAATGGCCTATCAGGTCCTCCTGTACTGCACTGTATAATGGCCTGTCAGGTCCTCCTATACTGCACTGTATAATGGCCTATCAGGTCCTCCTGTACTGCACTGTATAATGGCCTGTCAGGTCCTCCTATACTGCACTGTATAATGGCCTGTCAGGTCCTCCTGTACTGCACTGTATAATGGCCTATCAGGTCCTCCTATACTGCTCTGTATAATGGCCTGTCAGGTCCTCCTATACTGCACTGTATAATGGCCTATCAGGTCCTCCTATACTGCTCTGTATAATGGCCTTTCAGGTCCTCCTATACTGCACTATATAATGGCCTATCAGGTCCTCCTGTACTGCACTGTATAATGGCCTGTCAGGTCCTCCTATACTGCTCTGTATAATGGCCTGTCAGGTCCTCCTATACTGCACTATATAATGGCCTATCAGGTCCTCCTATACTGCACTGTATATTGGCCTATCAGGTCCTCCTATACTGCACTATATAATGGCCTGTCAGGTCCTCCTATACTGCACTATATAATGGCCTGTCAGGTCCTCCTATACTGCACTGTATAATGGCCTGTCAGGTCCTCCTATACTGCACTATATAATGGCCTGTCAGGTCCTCCTATACTGCACTGTATATTGGCCTATCAGGTCCTCCTATACTGCACTATATAATGGCCTGTCAGGTCCTCCTATACTGCACTATATAATGGCCTGTCAGGTCCTCCTATACTGCACTGTATATTGGCCTATCAGGTCCTCCTATACTGCACTATATAATGGCCTGTCAGGTCCTCCTATACTGCACTATATAATGGCCTATCAGGTCCTCATATACTGCACTATATAATGGCCTGTCAGGTCCTCCTATACTGCACTGTATAATGGCCTGTCAGGTCCTCCTATACTGCACTGTATAATGGCCTGTCAGGTCCTCCTATACTGCACTATATAATGGCCTGTCAGGTCCTCCTATACTGCACTATATAATGGCCTATCAGGTCCTCCTATACTGCACTATATAATGGCCTGTCAGGTCCTCCTATACTGCACTATATAATGGCCTGTCAGGTCCTCCTATACTGCTCTGTATAATGGCCTGTCAGGTCCTATATGATGTGTATTATGAGACAGAATTGATGGTATAAGATGCAGTGTTTCCCAAATGATTTTTTTTCAGCAGCAGTGGCAAAGTTAGTGTAGTGGGTGTGGCCAATGGCGTGGTCTCCGACCGAAAATTAGCAGAGCCATTTTGGTGTTTTAAAGCTAGTTTCCTGCAATTCTACACATTTTGTCATGGGGCTTAGAGAAAAATGTTCCGTTTAAAAACGCGTTTCCTGCAATTCTACACATTTTGTCATGGGGCTTAGAGAAAAATGTTCCGTTTAAAAACGCGTTTCCTGCAATTCTACACATTTTGTCATGGGGCTTAGAGAAAACTGTTCCGTTTAAAAACGCGTTTCCTGCAATTCTACACATTTTGTCATGGGGCTTAGAGAAAAATGTTCCGTTTAAAAACGCGTTTCCTGCAATTCTACACATTTTGCCGTGGCTCATGCCGTGTTCTTATGCTATCTGAGTGACTCAAACATTATAACTAAATCAATGAGGGCCCCATGGCATGATATTTTGGGAATTGTTGATTCTCCCTGACTGTCTAGTTTTTATTTTTGTGATTTTTTTTGTTCACAAAGATGATCTTATTTAAAAAATATATAGCTCCATGAGCTTTTCTACATATTTAAAGAATGTTTTTTTTAGGAGTGGCAGCAAAATCATATTTTTGGGACTGGCAGCAATGAAACACTGATGTCCTGACCTATACCATAGAAATACTACTAGACTGTATGATGTATAGGAAGTCATATATACCATAGGAATACTAGATGTAGCCTACATCTACACATCTCCAGGGGTCAGATTGAAAAACACCCTAGTCAGTTACTCCCTGTTCCACAGGCTTGCTTAAACCGTAGTCTACTGATGTAAAAATGTAAACATGTTTTGTATATATTTTTGACAATAACGCCGTATGTTTACTGTGAATTGTGTACATACATTTTGTTGAAAAATATATTGGAATACATTGAAATAAAAATGAGTTTATTAACCATTTGTGGTGCATATTTTTTTATCCTGACCCAGAAGCCTGATATTGTTGGAAAAACATCTGACTGGCTCCTTTGTTTTGCTACAGGGATTATAAAAGTGAGATTGACAAATCCCTCCATCCATCTCTCTACCATCTGCTAACATCTTGCCCCTGCTGCCTCATAGTGCTACTGGTTCACTATGCTCGTATACTGACTGATGCCACTGGTCAAAACAACGTTATGCCGCGCACCAGACATAGCTTTTTATAAAGTTCTTAAACGCGATTCAAGGCTTGATTTTTTGGGATAGTTTTGAGTCAATATCTCGATATGCTGGCACCGTTTCGGCCTGTCACCCAGGAGAGGTGATACAAACATGGGAACGTACTCACTGTTGCTGCCACAGGAGCGGAAACAGTGCAGCGGATATGGCCTCTTCTAAATAATTAAGAGAAGAGGAGCGCTTTCTTTACTGCGGACTGACACATCTAATAACTGTTCGGTGGAATCATCTATCAACTGTTCGGTGGAAATTAACGGAGTTTATCCACCAATGCTATGAAATTTAACAGATGACATATTGCAACCTCGGATAGAGAACAAGATTTTACAGCTGACATTTGTCAGACGGGAGACTGAAAGGGGAGCGGAAGGGAGCGACACAGTCCGCCGCGAAGGAGCGCTGGATCCCGGCTGGGAGTCCACAGACAGTCGGTGGGGCACGGCCCATGCTGGGTCCGTCTCCGTGCTGTCGTCCATGATCAGACGTCGGGAAAGAAACATGTAGCTAGCTACTGCTACTTGGTTATAGTACATACAATTCACCGTAAAGGAGACCACAGGAAAGCGGGCTTGCCGTGTCGATTGCGGAACGGTTTTCCACATTATTTTGACGGTAAGTGAGGTGTGCTTACATAATGGGGACTGGGATTTGCTGTTATTGTTTTCATCCTGGGGACTCGCGAGCTGGGCTGACACGGAAAGTGCTGTTGCTTGTGAGTAGGCGATAATACACTTCACATATGTGCGATATTTATATTTCTCAAGAAATAAGTACAACCCCATAATAACAATAAATAACGGTAGTTTGTTATAGGCCAACAATTTCATCGTTTAACTGGTTTTAAATTATCTCAGTACAGGCCTGTGGTCTAGTAGTGTAAAACTGCTGGTGCTTGTGACGGGTTGTGTCGGGTATTCACTGACTAGTGGAATGCCATGTTCATATATATGGCAATGCATCATAGAAAGCCTACTTGGCAGTGGCCAACCAACTACTTGCTGTGATAGCATATAATAGGTTTCTGAGGCAACATGTTAGTCAAAAATAAATCAGTTATTTCTCTATGGATAAGTATGAACAGATAGAAAACAATTGCAATATGGGTGTTTCATGACTAATGGCGTGGTCAGAGTCAGACCTCTGGGGCCCAGCCTGGTTTCTCAGTCTAACTCAATAACAGCAGGGCCTGGATTCATCTCAGTATATTTCCCCATCTCTAATTGGCTCAATAAGTCCTTAACTCACAAACACTACAGTAACAGTAAAACATGAACTACTTCTGTGCACCATCTGGCAGGTGTGTGTGTAAACCAGTTTACTGTGATCATAGAGGGTAACAGAGGACAGTGGGGCTCGCCAGGGGAGTCACAGACCTATACGTTTTTGAGTGGGCACTCATGGTCAAACTATAATATCCTTGAGTGTATTTTCTGCTATAAACTACCGGTATGCTTTGTCTTGTATAGGCCTGTACATGTCCTTCATAAGGTTAGAACTGGGCATTTCACTGGACATTATGTACCTGAGACCTTACATGGGCTGACTGGGACTGGGAGTCCAGAAATAATTGGTGGTGTGTTCTGGAGAACAATAAGGTAACCTAGACAGAACACAACACACACACAAACTGAATGCAATCACACACATTTAACACACACAGCAGCTAGCTTCCTGTCTACAGCCCAGAGCTCAGAGCCCTGCCCACAACATTCCATCCTGTGCCACTGGCCAGGGACTTCCGAACTCTATGGCCAAACGGCACACTATTTCCAATGTAGTGCACTACTTTTGACCAGGACCCATAGAGAGATAGGGTGCCATTTGGGTTGCAACCTATCTGTATTGTTGTTGACCAACTGAATACAATACCAGTCATTCCGTTCCACACTGGCAGTCCACTTTGCCTCTTACATTCACTGTCCCTAAACACAGTGACACCATGATCACCCTGTGGCTCTGTTAATACACCTGACCCGTAGCTCTGTTAATACACCTGACCTGTGGCTCTGTTAATACACCTGACCTGTAGCTCTGTTAATACACCTGACCTGTAGCTCTGTTAATACACCTGACCCGTAGCCTTGTTAATACACCTGACGTAGCTCTGTAATCACTGACTGTAGCTTAATACACCTGACCTGTAGCTCTGTAATACACCTGACTTGTAGCTCTGTTAATACACCTGACCTGTAGCTCTGTTAATACACCTGACCTGTGCTCTGTTAATACACCTGACCTGTAGCTCTGTTAATACACCTGAAACCTCGTAGCCTGTTAATACACCTGACCTGTGGACTCTGTTAATACACCTGACTTGTGGCTATGTTAATACACCTGACCTGTAGCCTTTCCTGCTGTATCTGTTAATACACCTGACCTGTGGCTCTGTTAATACACCTGACCTGTGGCTCTGTTAATACACCTGACCTGTAGCTCTGTTAATACACCTGACCTGTAGCTCTGTTAATACACCTGACCTGTAGCTCTGTTAATACACCTGACTGTAGCTCTGTTAACCCTGATTGGCTTTAATACACCTGACCTGTAGCCCTGTTAATACACCTGACCTGTGGCTCTGTTAATACACCTGACCTGTAGCTCTGTTAATACACCTGACTTGTGGCTCTGTTAATACACCTGACCTGTAGCTCTGTTAATACACCTGACCTGTAGCTCTGTTAATACACCTGACCTGTAGCTCTGTTAATACACCTGACTTGTGGCTCTGTTAATACACCTGACCCGTAGCTCTGTTAATACACCTGACCCATAGCTCTGTTAATACACCTGACCTGTAGCTCTGTTAATACACCTGACCTGTAGCTCTGTTAATACACCTGACCTGTAGCCCTGTTAATACACCTGACCTGTAGCTCTGTTAATACACCTGACCTGTAGCTCTGTTAATACACCTGACCTGTAGCTCTGTTAATACACCTGACCTGTAGCCCTGTTAATACACCTGACCTGTAGCCCTGTTAATACACCTGACCTGTAGATCTGTTAATACACCTGACCTGTGGCTCTGTTAATACACCTGACCTGTGGCTCTGTTAATTTTTATTTATTTTATTTAATACACCTGACTTGTGGCTCTGTTAATACACCTGACCTGTAGCTCTGTTAATACACCTGACCTGTAGCTCTGTTAATACACCTGACCTGTAGCTCTGTTAATACACCTGACCTGTAGCTCTGTTAATGCACCTGACTTGTGGCTCTGTTAATACACCTGACTTGTGGCTCTGTTAATACACCTGACCCGTAGCTCTGTTAATACACCTGACCTGTAGCTCTGTTAATACACCTGACCTGTAGCTCTGTTAATACACCTGACCTGTAGCTCTGTTAATACACCTGACCCGTAGCTCTGTTAATACACCTGACCTGTAGCTCTGTTAATACACCTGACTTGTAGCTCTGTTAATACACCTGACCTGTAGCTCTGTACATACACCTGACCTGTAGCTCTGTTAATACACCTGACCTGTAGCCCTGTTAATACACCTGACTTGTGGCTCTGTTAATACACCTGACCTGTAGCTCTGTTAATACACCTTACCTGTGGCTCTGAATACACACCGTAACCACCACCCATGTGACTGGGCTTTTCTCTACTGCCTGGCTGATTCTGCTTTTCTCTTAAACTTACGACCTCATTTCCTGTAAACTGAGAGAATAGAGGATGGTTGTTTTTAGTACGTTAGTCAACAATATTGTCACATAACACCAGTGTATTTTGGGAACAGTACCTGTCTGTGGTTGAATCCAAAACCAGAGGGTGGACAGGAGAGGAGAGGGAGAACCCTACGGCACCTAACCTCATCGCTGTCTACCATCCTAGTTCTGCCTCATGCCTAAACGGTTTTGAAGGCTACATCTCAGATATCTCAATACCACCTCCGCTGTGCCAGCCCTTTAAGAGCTCTCCTCTCTGTATAGTGCTACCTTTCCCTCTTTCACTCCCTCCTCTTTCACTTTCTTTCTCTCTCTCTCTCTCTCTCTCTCTCTCTCTCTCCTCCTCTCTTCTCTCCTCTCATCAATCCTTCTCCCGTCTCCTCTCTCTCTCTCTTCTCTCCTCTTCCTCTCTTTCCTTTCCTCCTTGCCTCTCTCCTCTCTCTCTCTCTCTCTCTCCTCTTCCTCCTCTACTCCATCCCTCCCTCCTTTCTCAGTGTAATCTCCAGACAGAGTGATTAGGGAATGTAAACCCTGTACTCCTGAAGCTTGACGCTGATTGGATGATGGTCGGTCTGGCTGTGTCCAGGCTCGCTCTCTCTCTCTCAATTCAATTCAATTCAAGGGGCTTTATTGGCATGGGAAACATATGTTTACATTGCCAAAGCAAGTGAAGTAGATAATAAACAATAAAAAGTGAACAGTAAACATTACACTCACACAAGTTCTAAAAGAATAAAGACATTTCAAATGTCATATTATGTCTTTATTACAGGGGGTTTGGTTGTAAAACGATTGTGCAATAGTTAAAAATACAAAAGGAAAAATTTGTTTTAGTTGGTTTTATTTAAATGGTGGGTTTTGTTTCAACGTCATCTTCTCTGTATGTTCTTATAATTGTAATATTAATATCACTTTATATCTATCTCTATCTAGACTATATCTTCTTACTCTGTCTCCGGGGTTCTCATATCCCTCCTCTCTCTCTATTTATAATCTACTTCTCTCTATCTTTCATCTCTAACTTCTAGGTATGGAAAAGGTCTGGCCGGGTATCATTTATTACTCTCTTTTTCCTATTTCTTTTCTTTAAAACCCCAAAAATCAGAAGGAACAGGTAAAAATGGGCTGTTTTCTCCCCTCTCTCTTCTCTATATTAATTTTAAATCTTTTATACTCTCATCTTATTCTTCTTTATTTTTATCTATCCTCTCTTTTCTCTTCTCGTCTTCTCTCTTTTCTCTCTCTCTCTTAAAAAATTTTTCTATCTTCTCTTTTCTCTCTCTGTCTTCTCTCTCTCTCTCCTTTTCTGTTCTGCTCTTCTCTTTCTCTCTTCTCTCTCTCTGGGTATCTGTCTCTCTCGGTCTCTTCTCTCTTCCCCTTTTTCTCTTCTCTTTCTCTCTTCTATCTCTTCTATCTCTCTCTTTCTCTACTCCACTCTGCATTTCTCCCCTGATCTCTCTTCTCTCTTGTCTCTTCTCGCTTCTCTCTCCTACTCTCATCTCTTCTCTCTCTCTCTCTCTCTATTCTATATTCTCTCTCTTGTCTTTTCTGTCTCTCTCTCTTCTGTCTCTCTGTCTTTCCTCTCTCTCTCTTCGTTTCTCTCTCTGGTCTTCGCTCTCGGGTCTCATCTCTCTTCTCTATTTGGTCTTATCTCTCTCTCTCTCTCTCTTCTCTCTCTCTCTTTCATCTCTCTGAGCTGGTCATCTGATCCCTCTCCTTTAATTGGTTCAAGTTTCCTGTTGAGATCACACCGTGACCTGAGGTGACAGGACAGAACAGGACAGAACAGGACAGGACAGAACAGGGCGGGAAGGGGAGCCCATCTC